AGCCGCAGAGCGCATGAGGCGCAGGATTTACAACGGTGAGTATACGCGCGCGCTGAGGTCGCGCCCGCTCAACCAAAACTGCTTCTGCGCCTTCATCATGCAGCAGCCTTTACGTCCGAATTGGCTCGTCGTCAATGCGTTGAGACCAATAGAGATTTCCGCTGCAGAAACAGTAATAGTGCGCTTAACCTTTTTGTAGCTGTACTGTCTGAACATCAAACGAAACTTCATTGTTATAGAAGAGAAATGCACATGTTTACAGCAGCTTATTTGAACTTCCACTAATGCCATTATCTGTACTATCTGAAACACAAGTCTCCTAGTTTCCTGAAAATTACATGATTTTGTCAAATAAGCCTTAATATTATTTAACAGTGAAATCCATGAGTATGCATAACGTGGTAGTGATAGTAGCGCTACATAAGAGAATATCATCTAGAGATATTACCAGCTACATATCCTAGCTATCATCAGATGAAACGATTTGATCTAAGCAAAGAACTTGTTGCTCGCATAAAGTTGATGGTCTGGGCCAACAGACACAGCCCCAGTTTGTTCACGAAGGAACAAGCGTGCTCCCCGTTTGAGACCATGAGGTGTGAGGTAGTCCCAGGCAGAATGCCAGTTCACAAATGATGGTGCATAAGGAAGGAACGAGACAGCAAGGCCTGAAATCAAAATGTACAAAAATCTTAACAATTCTACGAGGTAAATTGAGGTAGTGCGGCACCAACCTGATCCTGCAACAGCCATCACTGTGCTAACGACTTGATATGGATAACCAAACGAACTGATGACGAATGGTATTGCAAGGGAGGAGAACTTGCGGATATCCTCGACTTCCTGAAAAGTACTGAGTTTGCTCGACTAATTTCAACGCAGAATCATCACCTTTACACCCTTCCTATCGGTCTTTTCGTAGAGACCAGCGTGCACAATGGCCCTTTCAGCTGCATAGAGAAGAGCAGCCGTTCCGAACACAATCACTACCTCTCCCATTATCTGAGGCACAAGTCCGCTGAACAAAAACCCTTTTCATGAGAGAATAGCTACGCGGGAACCATCATTACCTGAACAGTCCACCTGGTCCCTCTTCGATGCCGATCAAGCGAATGCTCGAAAGGACACCTCCATATTTTGCTTCGTGGCCAATAAGTTGGGCAATTTG